TATAAAAAAAATAAATCTAACTGTATGTCAATAACATTCTATGGAACACAGACAAATAAATATGAATGCATCAGAGACTTGGCCCAGGGAAGCCCATGTTTGATGATCTACACCAGATAATACAGGTGCAGCAGAATTGTTTTTTTGCCGCCAGAAAAATCACACCACTATTGAAAAAACCCCCCAAAAACAATAACCAACAAACAAAATGAAAAAAAAAAAAAAATATTGAACACATCTCCGTACGACCATGTGGCAGTTTCAGAACACAAAAGTACCAGTACAGTACACACAAAAAGTTGGGGTTTCGCCATATTCGTACGGTCAGCTAAATTCCTCACACCCCACCGAGTTCTGATCACAATCACCAGACTCCCCCACGCTTTTCACATAAACCTGATGCCTCGGATTTTTACACAGATAGATACGACTTGCACTTCACCAAATCACACAGATAAACAACAACACTTGCACAAAAACTCACACATCTTGAACACCATTTTCCCCCTCATCAAACTCACAAACTCTTAGCACAGTGTCCATTCTGAAACCTGTACACACATGCCCACAACAAAGAGCCAAAGCCCAGAATACACCAAAAAAAAAAAGAAAAAAAGAAGAAACAAACAAAAAATTCTTAACATAACCCCCTCCCCCGAGACTTGCTATCAGTGAGGAGGCCAAGCTTTCATCATCCAGGAGGGTAAACAACAGGGAGAAACAGCAACACAAGGGCAGGGCCAGCGAATGACCTGTGCGCTGAGTCGCAATTAGGTGGCCAACATTTTTTTTATCTCCTACATTTTTCAATTTTGCTCTGTATCAGTGTTACCCTTCATCAGGCGAGAAAAAGGAACTAACCCCCATATTTGCTCTTCCTATTTGACAAGATAAACAGCCTTCATATCACATATTTTGTTGTCACAACTTTCACACCAAAAGAACAGTCCTCATCAAAACCAGTAGAGCCATTCTTATGCTTTAGAATATAACAGAGAAACAATTCTGCCAGCGCTTCATGAAACACAACACATTTTTTGGACTGGCAATTTTATGTAAACTTCCGTGACATCATGGCAACTTCTTAATCGATGGATTTTTTAAACCCACACATGCTGTACTTCAACTGCCTCCAACAAAGAATGCTTCAGTGACAGCCCGGTCACACAGGGAATCTATGTAGCAACTCTCAAAAAGTGTATTTCATGACTCGTATTTCGGTAGCACAGCATAGTTTTGGGAAAAACAAATTCAAAAATGCCTTGCATGGCCTACATGACATCTCCTCATATTGGGCTCAGTTCAGACAATCTTGAAAACATACAGCTCTGCTTAATCTATATACAATACAAGAGTCACTATCATACAGGCACTGTCCAAAGTTCCATGCAAACGTTTCACTGGGACGATATGCACACTTCTAGACAACCAAGCATTGATCCCTGTGCTCCTCCTACCAGAAACATACTGCGACATGCAAATGGAAATACATAATATGGCTGACATTTGGATGAACACTGCATGCAGTAAGAAATATCACTTCTTTACATAGTCTGTACATCAGATGAGAATGAAACCAGTAACTTTCTCAGCCACGTTAGCTCAACTATAAGTTAGCATTTTGTCCACAAACATTCATCTAGATAGGCACTCATCATAACGTATGCACTACTCAGGGTGAGCTAGCAGGCTCCTCCCTCGGTCATTCTGCGACAGGAAACAGCCAGATGTGTAGCAGCCAAACAACTATTGTACCACGGCAGCAAGAGGTACGCCAGGCACACACGCTGCTCCTTCCAAGAAATTATGCTGCATAAACAGAACAGGGCATTGCTGGTTACCACCCTACTGGCCGTGAACATTACCCCCCCCCCCCCCAAACAAATATATTCCAAACGTCTTACATGGATTTTACTCACACCATGACCTTAAAAAAAAAAAGCTGTACCCATGATCAATATGCACTCATGATTAAGGGAAACAAAAGAATTCCTTTCCCCCTCCTTATAGAGTAACATCTATTCCAAATTCACTATCTCGTTATGATAAATTACGTGGACCATCACATGGATTCATTTAATTGTGAGACTGACAGGGCTGGTAAAATAAGAATATTCATGTCGCTGGTTTGTTTCTTACCTAAAACTGCGTGGTTTTGAAGACAAGACTAATGCACGCTGTCAAAGGACAGCATTGTAGTTGTAGTGCAGGAAGAAAATGTATGGATTTTCATGACATTTGCGATGTTCTGTCGTGTAAATGGGCCTATTCATTTTCAAGTTGATATCAATACTAAATGCATACTCATTAACCCCCCCCCCAATAAGGCAAACAAAATTTTCTCATATATTGATGTTGATGCAACAAAAAAGTTTGCTTCCAATGCAATATTTTGACTCTACCTTTTTAAACTCTTCAATAAATCAAAAAACCAAAAAAAAAAAAAAAAAAACCATTGTAAAGCTTGAACTATAAAATTTTTACACTCTTTTAAATATATTGTCCTAATCATCAAGTTCCTCATCCAATGATCATTCCAATTCCAAAGCGATATTGTCCTTTGACATGGTTGGCGTATCCACTGAGAGCGAGGGTGAAGGGGAACGGGGCCAGCTTCTTCTCCATGACACCGCCTATACACCAGTTGCTGTCCACCTGACCTGTGACCGTGGGAGAGAGACAACAACAAAATAAGTGAACGCCAGGATCTGGGCAATTTATAAGGAAACCCCATTGAAAAAATATATATACAGGGATGTAAACAGGTTAAATAAAAAATATTATTTTTTTTAAAAAGCCGGAAAATATACAGCGTGCGCACTGACTGAAATAAGAATACAGTATTACTACAAAAATCTCCATTTAGTATATATAATACGCATTGTTTATAGTAGAATTTTGCTAAAAGTTGGGGCCCAAAATGGCAAGTCGGCCGTAAAAACCGGAAAAAGCCGGAAGATATACTTCCCTGTATATATATGATACATACATTACATACATTCAGACATCTATATTAGGAGGGGGTGAGATGCACAATCCGCTAAGCAACATTTGGGGGAAAAAAAAAAAAATCCTTTGAAATGTAGGCCTACATTGTTGCCAGCTATCAGATGAACAAATTGTTTTCTGCCAAAACCCAACCCATACTTCAGAAAAGCCACAAATAATCTTTTTATGCATGTTCATGTGTATAGCAGCATTTTAAAAAGCTGATTTTCTCAAAAGTGCAAAAATGGACGGAGCGAGCTTTACATCTCATCCCCTCATATAGAAACCCTCCCCCCCAACCATCTTACAACAACACGTCCAAAATCAAGAATGAGTATAGTCTGTCTGTTGTCTGCTTCCTTACCCCATGGACAGCCATGGGTTGAGATTCCAGTCTAACCTCCGCTGCCAGCATTTCAAGAATGTTTTAGAACATTCATCATCAGGTAACTATTAACAGTAGACAACACTACGATTTTCCTTATTTATTGTTTTTATGTTGTGTGTTATTAATAAAATGAAAACAGACTTTCAGTGTGTCATACTTTTGCGTGAAGCAACCTCAAAGGCAGATTTATTCTGCTTTTCTGAAGAGAAGAATTGGGACGTAAGAAGTATTCCGAGTCACTTCCGTGACCATCTTGTATGCTTTGTTCAATTTCAGAATCCATAGATACAAACTGTTTTTTATTTAGAGGCTGGACAAACAAAGTTTTTAGTTTAACCTAAAATCATGAAGCACAGGGCCAGATCTAAAAAGTTGTGACTTGCCCCACATAAGCTACACGAGAGTTCATGAATCAAGGGATGCAACTGCTATATTTAACAAACATTAAATTAGCATGGCTTCCCTGTCTGCTACTGCTCACACCCGCCTTGGGCCGGCAAATAGGGTAAAAACAGCGAGGAAATCGAAAATGATGGGGCTGCAGATTCTGCGTTTCTCGTAGGACTATCCCTGCCATCAACGTTGTATCGGTATTGGCAGTCGGTGAGTTAAGTTCAAGTAAAAAGAAACGAATAATAAAAAAGCAGGCCACTTTCTGCAAGCTAAATGGATGTGTGAAAACAAAATTAATGTTGAATGAAGAAAAAACTAAAACCATCCTATTTGGGAGTTTCAAATCTTAATGACGTTAATAGAAGCTAGTTAGAATGTGAAAAATGCTAGCATATCCTTTTCCAACAAGGCCAAAAGCCTTGGTATCTATTAAGATTCAGACATGTCCAAAACAACCCAGTAAATCATGTTATTCGATGTATGTACCTTGATCAAAGACGAACCAGTGAGAAAAGGCACCTTATTTCAACTGACATTGCAAGCATACTCTCCGTCTCTATTGTCTTGTCAAAACTTGACGGCAGCAATTCTGTTTTGTCTTTTCTTAGTTGCTTTGGTGCTGGTAATTTTTCTAATCAATAGATCAGTATGTTGACTGTGAAAAAAATTGCCTAAATGTTTTTCGTCTCTTTCCTTACAGAGATACTTTGAGTGTAACTATTATTTTCTGATGGCTCATTGCATTTTTCAGTATTAGCCTGAAGCCCGAAATTCCTCAGCAAATTCTTCATACTTTCCTTCTGCGTAACACCCTCCTCCTTTCTAGGTTTGTAAACCCTGAGCTTCACAGGTTATCACCCAAAGGTTAAGAAAATAATGTCAGAAAGAGAGTCCACGTCCATTCTAAACTGATTCAACCAGCAGATAGTTTTTACTCCGGACACAAATAATGTGACCGTTGTGTTACCTTACAGGTGGTCTCATAAAAAGTTAATTAAAAAACAATAAATCCGACAAAACCCTTAGTGTGGAGTATTGAAATGTTCAGCATAAAAAATGCTATTCAATGACAGCAGAAAAAAGGGTTGAAAGTAAGAGGTAAGGAAAAAAGAAGAGAGGAGATTGATGTGAAGAAAAGGGAGCAGTATATGTAAGAGTTGCTCAGCGTCAAAACACAGGAGATAGTCAGCCGCTGTGGGCCAGTCAACTGGAAGTATAGGACCAGTTTTAACTGAATAAGTGTTATGCTGTTCATTGCGGGTGAACACAAAAAAACAATTCCTCACCCTTGAAGGTGACGTCTGCCTTAGGAATGTCAATCTGGTAGGCCACTGTGCCGACGCTCTCGGACATGCGTAGGCTCGTCTCCAGCTCCACTCCCACCTGGAGGTACTCGTGCACTCGCTGGTAGAAACAGGTGTGGAGGTTACCAGCCATCGGGCTCAAGTTTGTAGTCAGCTGCCATTTATCACCTGGGGAACGAATATATACATCTGCATGAATACTCACTGCTTCAATTGACACGATTTCTCCCTTTTTTTTTTTTGTATTGGATTTTACGGCCCTCGCAACTGTATAAAGTCATATAAAGGCGCGAATTTCCCCCTTTAACACTTTGCGGTCACTCTGTGCAATAATGCGATGATGAAAATTATCCGTTCTAGTCTCCTACCATGCCGGCTGACCAGATGGGGTATTTTATACTGTTTGGCTGTGTGACTGCAAAGAGTTAAAAAGCCTAGAGTACAGCATGAAAGCACAAAGGCATTCAACTGGTAAATTTTGATATATCTAATGTCAGAATTTATACCTGGGGAGTTGTAAAAAACGCAGAGGAAATGACGAGGCTATCAAGGTGGAGATTTAGGCGTCAGAGGAGTTTTATTCTTTTACTGTGCTGTGAAAAGTGTCTTGAAGTGGGAGTTTATAAAAAATTTTTTTTCGATAAGAGCATCAAGCTACACACGTTCAAAAGCAAAAAAGAAATTTGTGCAGTTGTCAGGAGCTGACAACTCGGAGTTAGCAAAAGTTGTTGAGGGGGGAGATCCAAACTGACATAAACTGATGCTTGAAATGAATTTTGGTTCTGAGGTCATTTGACGTAAACACGGTAAATCTACAATGAGAGGGTAAAAGAAGGCCGGGTGGGAAAGGGAGTGGTGGCAGAGAACATGGCAACAGATTAGATATTTAAGAAACATCAGTAACAAGTATAAACAGAAAGACAGTATGTCCATGGTCAAAGAACAGAAGAAGGCAAACAATGACGAGCCAGGGAAAGGTGTAGGCAGAAAACAAGAAACAGGGAAAAAACTTAACACAGCTGGAGAAAAATCCACAAGACAGACATCTTATAAGAGGAACTTTTGACGGTCTAAATTCTTCGGGGAATTAGAAGGCAAGAAAAACCATTTGAGCTATGACATAACTCAAGGTAGATGTAACGCAAAAGACAGAAAGAAAAGATCATGGGGTAGATGTAACGCAAAAGACAGAAAGAAAAGATCATGGGGTAGATGTAACGCAAAAGACAGAAAGAAAAGATCATGGGGTAGATGCAAAACAAAAGACAGTAGAAAAGACCATGGGGTAGCAGCATAGCTATGGTCACTCAAAGACAAAGTGTGAACCTACCAGACCACTTTCCTGCCATAGACATGATGGCAATCTCTCCCCCAGGCACCTGCATGCCCCTCTGATACATAAGCTCAGCACCCAGGGCCAGGCGGGGCGTGATCCTCTGAAGGTAGTGGGCCACCACCAGACCTACAACAGACACAAACAACAAACAGAAAGCTCAATTTAGTTTGTTTAGTAAAGAGTTTTACGGCACTTGCAACACAATAAGGTCATATAAGTGCCGAAGATTAGAGGTGTTACAAGACAGTAACAACAAACGTAAAAAAGAAGGAGGAGAGGTAAGGACGATAGATATTTAAGAGGAAAGAAGGAGCAAACCACACCAGAGCACCCGTCAACCACCCACAGAAAGCTCAATGAGGCTGGCAGGGAACTCAACATTTCACAGAGGACACCGCAACAGAAACATGTCTTTCGGGGGCTCTCGTGGTCTGCAGGAACCGTGTTTGCGTCTCATTCAAAAGGCCCAGAGTTTGAAACCTGGTAGCCACGAACAAATGTTATTCTCTAAAAATTTCTCCTTTCACCCCCCTTTCCTCTTTCCTAGTCCTGCCCGACCTACCTCCTCTCTCCTTTACTCATGAGTCCAACTGCTACTCCTATCAACAGGAGTGTAATATGTTGTTTTTTTCACAACAGATAACTAACTGTGATGGGAGGAGGTCTGAGTATGTTAAAACATATCTTAACTCTGCTCTTCTATTCTCACAAATTTCTTGCTCTAAATATTTGTTAACCGTCTCTATACGACTAAATTTCGTCACCAATCACCGCGAAGAGAGACCAAAAGTAAAGATATAGAACATCATAAATCTGAAATGACAATTCAACAAACACACTTTCATCTGATTACCTACCAGACATATTAATAGGATCCAGGTTTCCTGTGGTGAGAGAAGAAGTGAAATCATCTCCCTTGTAATCAAAGGAAATCTGTTGACCAACACACTTGTTTCCTTGAAACTGGGGGAAAAAAAAAAGAGCATGTTTTTCTCACAAGAACACTATTCTAGCATCTGCCTCTGTTGCCATTTTTTGGGTCCAAAAGTTGCCACAAAAAAAAGCAAAAGTTGCCATTAATTTTCAAGCTTTCAAATCTGGGATGACGCATTTAGCAACACGTTGATAGAGGTAACTTAATCTAAAGCACCAGAATTTCTTTAGCTCTGATTTAAGCATCCAGAATATTATTTGTAGCACACAGAGTGTAAAAACATGAAAAAATAAAGGTTTCACAACAGAAAGAAATCATAATTAGAACAACACATAAACAGCCACAAAAAAATAACAAATAAGAGAGTGTGTCCATCTATCCATAGATTGGCCGTTTTAACCCTAAAAGTATGTAATTCAAGTAAAAGTACAGGATATTACATATAAATTATGGAATCACACACAAGGGGCTTGCCACTGTCAGGACTCGGTTTTGGTGGAGACACGCTCTAACATAACACATTAATATATATTTTTTAATGTAGGAACAACATCAAATTAAATAACAATGCGCTATATAAACACAAAAAAATAGCAAAAACAACACATAAAAAAAACATTAACACACCAACAATGTGCATCTTTCTTCTCTTATAACTTGACTATTACTACTCGTGCAGACTTTAAATTTCTCATAGTCAAAGACATGATATTCGTAGTCAGTTTAACACAGGTTTGAGAGATCTGTCGTGCCGCTTTAAAATGAACGGTAATTTTTTTTTTTAAAGTAGAGGGTTTTACGGCCCTCGGAACTGCATAAGGTCATATGAGCGCCAAGGGGTGGGTGTCAACAGAGAAATCTTTACAGGGAATCAGACTTACTCTGCTCCCCTCTCTAGCTTCAACAGCACAAGGTCTGCTTCAACTATCAAGGCACGCCGGAAATAGCAGGTCACAAGAGAGTGACAAACGTACAAAAGAAGTAGAGGAAAATGACAACAGTAAGGATTAGGGATGAAAAAGCAGCAGTTCCCTGTTGTAGATCAGGCACAGTTATGAGTGTGACATGAATCAGCCCATTTACAATTCTACTGTGCTTGAACGAGAAATGTCCACCCTTAGGGAATGGCCTAAAGACACTACAGTCAGTAGCACTGCCCCGGGGGGTATAAAACTATGGTTTGGCTTCAAACGCAGACACGCTGTCACTTCAGCCATCAGAACTTCCCAATCATTTATTCATAAGTGTGTAACTAAAACAGGACAAATTGGCTACTCTACAAACACTTATCTAGAACAAAAACGAAGGCACAGAAATTAACCATTCTAACTCAGAATAAATCTCAAGACACTGAGCTTTTAGTACATGTGCCTAATGGTTTGCTGTGCGGAATGGGGAAGAAGTTATATCGTTTCAAACGTTGAAAAAAAAAAATGCGAACTTCTTAATCGAGACAGGTAAAGTCGCTTCACAGCTCATTAATCCCATGACCCCGAGCAGGGGAGATCCTGCGGGCTGCTGAGTCACGCTAACTAAAGGTAACAGAATCGGGCGAAAACTGACGCCCTGAGTGAGTGAAGACTTTTGACTTCACTTGGACGTCAGGGTGCGTTGTACTGTGACTTACCTGAGCCACCAACTTTCCCCGTAGCCGATCAGTCAGCGCATGGATGATATTTGCATTGAGGTTTCCATTTGAGTCGACGTCTCCAAGTAGCACCGGGAAAGCCTGAGGAAAACAAAGTCAGAGCAATCTTTGCTGAGTTCAAATACATCAACTGTGTATTACCCTCCCAAGAAAACAATTTAAACCATATTGGAAAAATACAATTTGTTGCTAAAAGTGTTTCCCTGAACAACAGAAAGTGCGTGCAGCACCGTTAGCTCAATTGGTATCATGCTGGTCTGCAGAACGGATTGCCCTTGTTCAAACACCCAACAGGGCATTCTGAATTTAAGGGGGCTCGATACTTACAGGAGAACATTTCAAACTGAAGACAAACTGAAACAACTTTTGTCACAGGCAGTAAGTATGAGACAAAAGATTCATGTTGAACTGTTGACACACTTGATTACACAAGTCGTTGCCATGGAAACGGTGGCCATCTTTAAAATTGGATAGAAAATAAGTTGTTTTTTTCTCCACCATTTCTAGTTTTCAACTTTTAAATGCAAACAAAAAGTGGTGAAAAAGTGTGTGTGTGTGGTGGTGGTGGTTTATTGCAAACAGAGTTATTCCGAATTCTGACATTTAGACTGACATAGTACAACAGTTTGATTTTGAAGTGTCGGAAAAACACATCATTACAACAATATAAATAGTCACATGAAATGCTAGGAAAAGGTAAAAACAAGAAAAATATCTTTTAAATATTCACTGCATATAAAGAGATTGGATCCCGATCACCCATTGGGGGGGGGGGAAGCCCCCATTCAAGCTTTCAGAGATATCAATCGGGGGGCAACGGAAATTGTACGAGAGCTATCCATGTTTGTGTTACCTGTGCCCGCCTGATAAACTGGGATTTTACCTCTGTTGGAGAAATCTGTTTTGTACCAATGTAGGTTGCACCAAATCTGTAGCCAGATGGGGAGAATGTGCTCAGTGTGAGAGTATGACTGATCTGGAAGTGGCTGCTCAGTCCCTTTGCAACAATAACTTTAGCACCTTCAAACACTTGTGGAAAAAGCTCTGAAAGAAAAAAGATGAGTCAGGATGAGTCCATTTTATTTATAGCACTGTATCACAAGGGATCTTTAACTCTTGTCCTGCGTCTGTGCCGATATGTGTATCTTATCAGCAACCGATTACGCCGGGGTCACTCGGTGTGTACTGTTGGTGTACAGCGCGCGCGCCGGGAAACGTGTGTTTTCGCATGAATGCCGCGGGAGTGTGTTAATCGATGATGAAAATAACGCTCTATCTTTCATAGCTTTCTATTTATAAAGTGTTACAAACACATGAATAACCCCCTCTCACAAGCTGATAACATTATGAGTAGTTACGCCCATTTCTGGACGCTCTTGTTGTTATGAATGACCTGAGGTTCGAAAGGGGATAATATAGGTCAATTTCCGAATGTTTTGCACTCCAATTGTTCTTTGTACCTGCACACAATGGTATTCAAAACTCTCAAACAAGCTTATTTTTTATCAGGTAGTATCATTTCATACAAAAACCAAGCTCATTTAAAAGATTTTGTTTAGAAAAATGGAAGTCTTGTTTCCTGACTATCTTTTCGAGCTCCTCATGTCTAAGTGGGTCAATTTCCTTTATAATTTAATTGGACGAACATCCAGACCACAAACTCAAGCAGACTGACGCTCACACACTTGACCTTTGCGTGAATGGGGACCCAACTCGGGACCCGAATTTCACGTAAAATGATGCGCGGTGCGCGTGCGCTGAGCCAGGGGCTACACTGATTCGGGACCAGAACGTAGGCGAGGTGGCAAAATAGTCTTATCGGGCGACATAAACCCGGCTCCTGCAGGACGCGGGCTAAGAATATATGTCGGCAGCGTGACTAAATAATTGCAAAGCTTTTTATGATGACTTTTGACCATGCCAACCGTAAAAGATAAGTTAATTCAATATAGCATGCCATGCAATGAAAAATTTTTTTCCCCCAATGAGATGCGAACACCCCGAGACGAGACAACCTCGCCTCAGAATACCCCCATTGCGATGTTACAGGGGAACAGAGAGAAAAACAACCGGATGCGCACGCCCGCCATTGCCCTATTTCAAGTGACCAATGGACGGGCTCAGAATAGTCATCCAGGGATTTGTAGGTCACATGATACATTTGCCGCGAGAGTGAGGGGAAAATGGCCTGTCTCCGTGCAAAGCCGCTTTGGATAGGGGGGTAGTCGTGCATTTATGATCGGGTCTAAACAACTACTCGACACAGAACGTTCAAATTTGAGCACACTATAGAGGGTAGATGGATCTATTACCAACTCGGCGTTGAAATTCAAACTACTTATAGTTTTCGGTACACCCGATATGAAAGTGTTCCCGACACCAAAAGTATTCATATAAGTTAATTTATGTGTACCAACTTCAACGTCCCCATATAATTAGTTTGTCCTATTTTCTGATTGGTTGCTGAGTTTCATTCACATTGGTTTGGAAATAGAGCAGACCGAGGTTGAGAAAGTTAGTCACCTACGCTACGGCCGGGTCCAAAAATTCACTCGCAAACGGGGACCAAATTTTCGTCCGGCGGGAAAGCCCGATTGGCATTGCTACATTGTTAATTAATAGCAAACAGTCTGAACTGATAGTTCAGCCTTAATGTTGTATAAAATTGACATATGAATGATGAAAAGTAAACAATGAGTTTATGGTATCCGTCGATGAAAATGTGGAGTGTGCTTAACACTGGTCTGACGGTGTAAAAGTAAGCATTGTCGGACAGTGTGAACTTCATTCATGCTTGATTGGTCTAGATAAGTCCATCTTCTTATTTCTGTATGACTTCACTCCCCCTACGCCTACAACCCTCCCCATGTCCTAGATTTGTAGACCAGTCCTGACACTAACCTCATAGCCTATTAATGAAATGCTTACATTAATCAAGGACCGACGGCGTGCGACGCGAATCAGACGGGTCACGTGAATACGTAAAATCTCCCTGTTACGGTCTTGTAGGCTAGCCTACAAACTACAAAAGAAAACACTGGCAAATTCTACAAATCCGAATGCCAACACTGGTTGGGAATAGATTTTGGGAAGGTATTCCGTAACGAAGTGTATACAGACCCGGTAACCGGGAACAAAGTCTCGAATTATACAGACCCGGTAGGGGAACTCTTTTGTGAAGTCGGAAAGTTTCAGCGCCCAGACCCGGTAGTGTGTGTGTGTGTGTGTGAGAGAGAGAGAGAGAGAGAGAGAGAGCAAGAGAGAGAGAGCAGGGGGAAGTGCTAGCAAAATGTATATATACGACATGCCATAGTTCACAGGAGGGAACGAGAGAAAGATAGAGTGGGAAATAGGTGGGGAGAGAGAAAGACAGATAAACGAAGGAAAAGAGAATGCGAGCGATACACAGAGACAGAGGTGAGAGAGAGAGAGAGAGAGACAGGTGAGAGAAAGAGAGACAGAGGAGAGAGAGAGAGAGAGAGAGAGAGAGAGACAGAGGTGAGAGAGAGAGAGAGAGAGAGAGAGAGAGAGAGAGAGAGAAAGAGAGAGAGAGAGAGAGAGAGAGAGAGACAGAGACAGAGAGGATGACTGCTCGACTGAAATTATGACATTGTTCTTTTCTTCAAATTGTGATTCCTCCAACTCCAAAAAAAAACGGAGGAAAAACGATCATTCATCGAAAAGACATCCGCAATCTTCATTTATAATCTCTAGATTCTAAATCAATGATTTATGTCTGTCTGTCTAGATCTAGATCTAGACCATAGATCTAGAAGAACCTAGATTAGGTCTACCTTGAGCCAAAAGGGCGCTGAAACTTTCCGAAATCACAAAAGAGTTCCCCTACCGGTTCTGTATACTTTGTGACTTTCTTCCCGGTCACCGGGTCTGTATACACTCCCATTCAATTCCGTAATGAGCAACCACATGAAAACTAGAGGGTTAGGGTTACTCCCATTATCAGGGTTAGGGCTAGGATCAGGGTTAAATAGGTAAGTCTCGATAAGTCCACTCTTTATTGAATAGGGCAAAGGCCTATTGACACGATTGTGTTTGTTGACTGTTTTGTTCATTGGGGTGGTTGCTTCTTCCAGAGAGGAAGTCCTCCCAAATACGGCGAATTTTGTTATTCAATGTCTGCTGACAGAGATCCTCATCAATAAAATGTGAGTCCAAACAGCTGATAACATAGCAACTTGACCATAACCCAGGAGTTACCTTTGGTTTGCTTATGCAGATCTTCATATAAACCTGGATTTCTGTCCCCTTCTGCACCAGAAGCCGTCCCTTGGGTTTCCTTCGGTTTTGATTTTGGTATTTCGGTTGGTGGGGGAGGTGGTATAAGCGGGGGCGCCGGAGTCCCTGCTGACGCTTTCGCAGATTCTGCTGCACTCACGTTTCCCATTTTAGAAGCCCTTGCACTCTTTTTTACTCAGGGCGAAGTAATTTCAAAATAACCAGAAGGAAAGAAACAAACAGATCACGTCCAGTTTGTAACCTTCAACCGGACGCCATGTGCAAGTTGGAATAGAAACAAAGAGCGTTGCGCATGACAATCAAAAATTTACTTCCGGTAGGTTACTGGTTGACAAAAAGTAAACAAGGCTACAATTTAACGATTAAATAGAATTTGTAAATTAGCAAATGAAAATTACTGATCTTTCCATATTTTACTTTCAATATATTTTGTTATCTTCTAACCCATTACATAGATTATAAGTCGTTTCCTTGTATAGTAGTTTTCGTTAATTTAGCCTACCTAATGATAGTTCTTGTTTTTTAATCCGGAAATAGCTGCGAGACTATTATAAAAATAGTGCTGCAAAGAAATCATTACACCAAAATAGTTCGATATATATTTGTTTGTTTTTATTTGTTTGTTTTGTAAAATCTGAATATAAAAGAAAGAAAAATAAATCAAAGTGTATACTCAAAACACATGAGTATACATGGGAAAGATATAAGTAAACTAGAAAAACTCTTCCGAGGTGGTAGTGAGGTCAAGTGAAATATCGGCGATAATTTCTCGGAATGACATCGAGTTTGTTGATACCTGAAGTTTTTTCAACAAAATTGGGTCGCCAAGCCCATTAAATGGACCGCTCAAGTTTCACAAAGCTACTCAGTATCTAAGGTGCAATATATTTTCATATGGACATTTTTTATTTTGACTGGTGGCTTCAAAACGAAGATCAGCTTGACTGATGACCCTTGATTTGTTGTGTTGAAAGCGGACCTTTCTCGACTCTAGCAGATGATATTTGACACCTCAAGATCTTTACAAATTCAACGACAGCGCTTCTAATGCATCTTTGGGCATATATAGAGGTTGTGAAATAACAGAGGAATGTCATTACCAGAAAGGTAAGTGCATTTTTTATGTTCTAAATGCGTGTGTGATTCAGTCTCGTAAGTAGGACAAACTGGTTGATATTTGGGACCCACCCATTCTCAACACGGCTTACTCAAGGAAGTCGGAAGTGTGTAAAAATTTGTCTTTGGATAGACAGGTCACTATACTATAGATTCTAGGCCTAGACTATTAGATCTAGAATCTAGATTTAGATCTAGATCTAGATCTAGAATTCTTGATCTATCTTAAGTCAAGTTGTAGTGTAATCCTTTTACAGGAAAAGCTGCCCTTTTCTGGTACTGGAATCTAGTCTAGGTTTCAGAAAGTAGAAAGCATTTGGAGTCAGAATTTCAAAGAAAAAATTGCTGGGAAAGAAAGAAGTTAGAGTAGATCTAGAATCTAGATCTAGATCTACAATTTAAATTTATTTTCCAAGACTACACGGTCATTGTCATTATTGTTGACTGCACTGTGACTGTTGTTAGATCTATAGATCTAGATCTAGATCTAGATCTAGTCTGTTAATGATAATGTCATAGATCTAGATCCATAGTATTAGTTCATTAGTAATCAGAATATTAGATCTTGTCTATTTATTTTATTGTTATTGTTGCATGTGTGTTACTGTACGTTAGACTAGGCCACTATTCTAACATATCTATCTTCTATAGATTTTAAATCATTGTCTTAAGCAACTGCAAGTAGAGCTAGATCTACATTCTAGTAGTGCTGATACTCACTGTTTTTTCTCGCGGTGCCTTCTTCTTGACATCTTGGTTGCTAGGCTTTACTTTGTAGTAGGTCTGTAACTGTCCTCATCTTAACTTCTGCTATGTCCACATCTACTATTACTACTATCACAACTGCTGCTGCTACTACTACTGCTGCTGCTGCTGCTACTACTACTACTACTACTACTACTACTACTACTAGTAGTACTACTACTACTACTACTACTACTACTACTACTACTACTACTACTACTACTACTACTACTACTCCTATAGGCCTTCTATACTACTAGATCTACAGTGTTGCATAATTTGTCTCATAGAACTTTTCAGTTTCAAAAGTTTTCTTTTTTCAATAATTTAGTATTCAACAACATAGGCGTTATGTATATTATATCTATTCATAAATCATTGTGTAGTTACACTTAGTAGTGACGGTAGTACAAGTGTTGCATGTAGATCTACATAGTAATGTAGGTTAGTAGTAGTAGTCACTGTCTGTTGTCTAGTATGGGTCAACTATTTGTCATCATATTGTCATAAAAATTAAGACAAGCTGATAGACATACTTGACATACATACACTGACCTAGTCTTGGCCATGGTGCTTTCAGGTCCACCCTAAGTGATGTTCATTGATTCCTTAAAAGCCTTACTGAAAAGTGTGGTTCCATAAATAAAACTAAAGAAATGTGTAGACCATAATCCGAGAAGACAAACATCTTCCTAATTAGGTCTGGTTTAGTGGTTCACTAGTGGGAGACAGATCTGGGAGATATATATGGCATATATGGTGGTTGGCGGAGAAAGTACTTGAAGGTGTTTTGGACAGGAAAGGAAGGAAAAATGAAGAGAGAAAAAAGGGAAAGAGAGTAGCAGAATTGTTAAAGTATAAATATTACAATATTCCCTTGTGCTCATGTGGGCTTATAAATTTATGAGTAGTTGGATCAAGGGGCTAGTGTTATATGAAACAATGGAAGGCATATATATATATATATATATATTCAGAGAGCAGCAGCCTAAAGTCCTTGAGCATTGACTATTGTGATCAAGACACTCAAACATAATCTGACAATTGGTGCTTTTGTAAGCTTCTTCCGCTTCCTTCTATTATTGAGATTACACAAATTACTGTCACTTTATCATGCTACAAAAATTACTCTTGTTTTCAAACTAGTTACGTGTAATTTTTACTAGGTTCAGAGACACTTACACTGTATCATTTAAAGCATACACATTTAGTTCCGTGACTCTGGGCTGTGAAAGACCAATTTACTCACTGATTCTCAAGCCAAATGTATCTATATTAATAGGAAAATCTTTGACACGAAAACTAAAACTTTGCAAAAAGACTGAAAACTATCATAATAAAAAGAATGCAACAAGGGAAAGAGAGAAATTAAATGCTCTCACAGAAAAAGAAAACTGCATCTAATTTGTCCGAATAGTTTGTTTTTTTCTAATCAATATTTTGAAATGGCAATGTCTGGGGGTTACAAAATTTTTTCTTACCCCCAATTTATAATTAAATTTTCTATTGCGATGCAGGGGTGACAGACTTAGTTTGTTACAGCTAAAAATGTATCACACATAAATTCACCAAATTTTTACGAAATGAAACAAATGGGTCAATTGTTGGCTCGCCGCTTCTCGTAGCTTGTAAATGAAGAACATTAAGTTGTAGATGAAAGGCCCTTTTTGTGGAAGCTTCTATTTCTTCGGAGGTACAGCTACGTAAGATCTCTTTTCTGTTGATAAGATTGTCGATGGTCTTTAGAAGGGAAAGTTATTTCGTTTAAACGCCAAAATCATCTGGTAAACCGTTGAAAATAGTTATTTCTTTTTAAATGTTCAGGGGGTAAAAACCAGTGAATTCATACTTATTAATCTTTTATGTAATGTTAAAACTCTTACAAGTCACAAGCCTATTCCCTGCTTTGTTGCAGCAAATTTGGTTTGAAATACATGCATTATATAAGTTAGCATTTTCAACATAAAAAAGCTAGGTTTCAAGCCACTAGTATTTATTACTCCCTCAAAATTCAAGAAGAGAATGAAGGATTTTATAATATGTGGTTACTGTAACAGTTCCAGTCTGGGCAAGCAGATATTCTATAATTCTTAAATGATAAACAAAGAAAATAAAAATTAATGAACGAAAAGCATCTCGTAAGTAGATATGCGGACGTTTAAGAGAAAACAACCCCTAATAAAAAGAAGTTAATCATAGTGCTTGTACAAATGTTTAATTTATTTCATTGCAGATTCTCACAATCATAAAGTTAAGTTTGAGTTTCAACATTTATTATTGGGGTTTTCTTTATTTTCAACCGCCTTGTGCGATGAATTGTTTTCAATAACTAAATAAATTTTGTCACCGCGTGAACTCTGTAGTTTGCTTGGTGACCTTTTAAATTCTTCATAGGTACTGTCAATGTTACCAGTACCCTATGGGAATTCTTTTTTATTCTGGGTAGGGGGGGGGGGGTGTGTTAGCTACAGCTCTGTTGCACTCTAGATCGGAAATGAAGCCATTATGAAGAAATTATGGTAGTTCTATTATACTTCCCCAAAGACAAAGAAAGCTTGTAGGAAGAAAATTTCTCTGACAGTGATATCATGGGTTATGATTAAGTACAGTTGATAGTTTATTATGAACTCTTATTTATATATATTGATTGACTTTTTGGTTGCCGTCAGTGTGTCATCAGTCTGTCGTCAAATAAGAGAGCTTACAGACTTGCACAGTGAAATAGAGATGTTGTACTTCAAAAGAGATTTTTGTAATCTGCTCCTCCAAACTGATGTCACAACTTTTGACCCTCTCCTTTCTTAAACTTATTTTGTGCCACTGACCTTGTCCTGTACTGGTAGGCCTGCCATTTATTTGCAGCCGGTTATTGCTTCAAGTAAAGTATGTTGATAATGTTTGGAACTATTTTTGAGGCTAGTAGTTTGCCAGCCGTTGAGGTTTGAGCAATCACCAAGCAGGTTTTTATCATGTTTAGTTGCAGCTGAATTTGGGGGCAAGGCTGGCCTGCTTTCTATTTCAGCTTCAATTGGGAATGCTGTCTTAACTTTGTACAGGTGACTTCTGATGCTGGGTTGTTTTTTTTCCCCCTAAATCTCAGATCAATAGTAAGCTAATGCTAATGCCCTCCTGTATAAAACAATCGCCTCTGTACAAACAGTTACTTTACATTTCCTCCCATATGTGTATTTTAAAAAACTTTATAAAGACACTGTGTAAGATGGCCACCTGTCTTAGATGGCTGCTTCTCTCCTCGACAATGGGTGGCTGCCTTAGACAGTTTTGACTGTAGACGATTTTTTCCTGCCCACGTTGAGGTCAGGGATTTATAAATCTGTTAGGACAGTTGTACCATGACAGTTAATTTCCAAACTTAAGAGCCAACCCCATCCAGTGAAGGTCATTGGGGGCCAAGTAGTTAAGCCTTCTAAAGTAGAGGCATGGATCTCCCTTTGTACAGAGGCCTTCCAGGTATAAAAGCTAACTGGCCCCCAATTTCAATACAGCAAGGTAATCTGCTTTTTTAGCTTTTGGCTTGTTATTCCAGTCGTGAAATTAAAGTTAACTCCCAACAGTTTACTTTCATATCAAAACCTTATTGCTTACAT